GGGGGAGGTCGGAGGCGTGAGAGGTGGAGGGAGTAGGAGGTGATACCGAGCTGACCCGTTTTCGCTGAGAGTTCCTCTTGCCGCGGCTGAGGAGAGGAAAGGAGTGAAGTGAAGTGAATTGAAAGGGGTGAGGGGAAAACAAGAAGAAGAAGAAGAGTTTCAAATTTCGTATTTCCAGTAAAAATTAAAGGCCATTTTCTTAAAAAGTGCTTCAAATTTTTTTAATCAAAATTGCAATTTTCTACAGCTGTTTAATGTTTTTACTTTCTCGTCTTGCCAAGTCTTTGTAAGAAGAGAAAGTTATATAATGGTGCGGCGGACATCGACGAATTTTCACCAGAAAATGTATTATAGTCGGGCTCTGGTAACGAAAACATTGATATCTCCTGTTGCTAAATGTAGAAAAATAAATCTTCTAACACATGGTGCAGACATAATACATGTTTTGTTTGTTCTTTATACCTAAAATTCGATTGTCCTTCCGTCTGTCCGTTCGTCTGTGGTCAACGCTAGCGGCTAAACCGTTCAGCCGATTTTCTCCAAAATCGTCCACAATCCATCTGGCTGAAATCTCGGTCTGTGAACTTTGAAACGAGATATTTTAATTATGGGGGGTATTTTACGTGAAGTCCCTCAGACAATTTCAAAATGTTCAAACAACCGCACCATATTTTTTTATTAAATTTTGTTCATCAATACGGCGAAAGATGTTTAAGAGAACGGTGCACGTTTCGTTTTCAGTAATATCCCTAGATTTTCGAAAATTTCAAACAACCTTTTTGAAACTACAAAATTGATGATAAAGGTTTTTGGTTCAGACAAAGTCTGTTGTAAAGAATTATGTCTTTAAAAAAGGTCATTTGTAAAAGTTAGTAGTTATTGCGTAACTTGAGCTTGAAATTTACGAAAAAATCTCAAAAACCGCTCCATTTTTTCTTTAAATCTTCTCCATATGTAATAAGGAGCGCTAAGAAATTTATTGCTAGTCCCAGTTTCGGGCATTACTCATTTTTTTCGGAAATTTGTAAAAGAATTTCAAAACTTTAAAATTGAAGATGTTTTTGCCTCAGAATAGCTTGTAGTAAATTAGCTATTTAAATAAATAAATAAATTAGTGGTGCTATAGGATGGCACATACTTTCACGTCTTAGTTAGTTTTCTAATCTTTTTACTCTTGGCTAACTTTTGTGCCACGCCTCATTCTCTTCATGGCTGCTTTCATTTTGTCACCCGAAAAACAATTTTTTCCCACATTTTGTCAGTTACGCGGTTCCGCAATGCTACACTTATTACTATTTTATAATTATTCATTTCATGTCAACGGTCTCCAAGGTGATGGGTACGGGCCCAGCTCTTCGAAGTAAAGGTTGGCTTGTTCGTGGCTTGTTCGACCCTTGTAAAGGCATTATTATCTGTGACAATTCTGTGTTACCACAGGAAATATTTGAGGATTCCACAAACTTTATTGAAAAGCATTTGAAGCAATTCTAATCGCCAATAGTATTAATCAAGATAAACAAAACTGAAAGTGTCTGTATATGTGAATTTCGAATTTTTAACCTTTATACAATTTTTCACATCTCTTATTGGATTTGTAAAGAGTATGAACCATCACATCAATTGTCTTTCGGCGCTTATGACTATTATAGAAGTGACAATTCTCTGTTTAATCCGGGTGGTCGAAATGCATAAATTTCGAGTTCGGTTTCCGCGTTACGTGGTGAAGGGCGGCAGTTTCGCTGCTGGCTCAGGGATAATTATTTGTCTCAATTCTCTGTGGCTCTTAACCTGCAAAAATTGTTTACCGCGTCGCTTTATGCCTGTGGAGCTGCAATCTTTTTGTGCCCAATGGACTTTTATATTACGTTTTGTTTATTTTTTCCGCTCCTAATTCAGCAACTGAAACAAGAAACTCTTATTTCTATTATAGGAGTGCCTAATGTTTTGTTGGTTCTTGATATCGAAAAATCGATTGATGGCAAAATATCCGTCTGTCCATTTGTCTGTCTTCAGTGTTTAACGCTAGCGCATAAAACGTTCAGCTATTTTTGTCAAAACTGATATACCCAGATTGATCTCAACGGACTGGAGGCTTTAAACGTTTCTAACGGATATTTTGATTGTTGAAGTATTTTTTTACATTACATTTTTTTACTTCAAAAGTCTCAAACGGATATTTTGATTGTTGAATTATTTTTTTTACATTAATCAGGTATTTACCTTTTTCTGCTTTGTCAGAGTTCGATCCATGCGGCGCTTGTGTGGCGTAGTGTTACGCATGCCGACACGTTAACTCTCAGGATCTGAGTTAGAGTCTCGGGGTGGAAAAATAATTAGCTGCTTGACAGTACTTTTGCTGGTGATGTAGGGATGTAATGTTTCGAAGCTTTTAGAAACAATAAGAGAAAGTATGTGCTTTGTAAGCACCACTAGTTTAATATTCGTAAAATCCTATTTCGGTTCTACTGTTAAGAAATCGAAAAATTGAGAAAATTTCAAAAAAATGTACTTTGCCCATCGATAGATGGCAGCTGACACGAGTATGCAGCAAGATAGAACAGCTAGATCAGACCAAAGGAAATAGAAAATTAATACGGGAAAGTCTGTGCCATTTTGTAGCAGCACTAATTTTCATTGTTCTCTGGCATACTCTTTTAGAGTATTTCACCATCCTTTCTTCTTCCTTATTTGTAACAGCTGTGTTTCTAGTGAATTATGGGAAAGATTAGTTCCGATGAACGAGCATGCATCAGAAAGGCGTCTGCGACAGGGCAGGCAAGAGATTTGTGGCAACTGTCTGCGGTTGTTGTGGTTTAAATTGGTCTCTCTATTCCGTTCTTGGTTGCGTCACATCCCGCCAAGACTACAATGCAATCAAGGGCGTGTTTTGTCTTTAAATTTATAAACTAAAAGTATATTTTCGAATATGTTTTGTTTTCACTTTTACAGTAAAGGTGCAGCTCTTTTTCATTTATGTTTCTTGATCCATAGCCGCTTCTGTATCACTCCAGAGCTTAATAAAAATGTCACGCTCCTTATTGAATGGAAATTTTTATACGTCGAATGACAACTTTCTTAGACCATTCTATTTCTTTTACCTTTCGTTTTGCCAATGATTCATTGGTGTACGGCTTCATTTCAGTTACCTCCTCATGGCATATTTTGTGTTGAATGACTAAGAGAATGAATGCTTCATAAAAAGAGAATTGTAAATAAATGAAATGTAGCCGTATTGCAAGAGATCTACATTGTTTACTTATGAGAAATTTCGCTGTAGTAACCTGAACACACCGACGTCCATAATGTTTAATAGTATGGGGTTCTTTATGTTATCATTCGCACCTCAAGCACGTTTATATATCACCACACACCAGATCTTCACACAAACCGGCATGCACAGGTGATTTAATGACTTATGATGTGATGAAACATGTACAAGAAAATGGACTGCTTGGTGGAATGAAAATAGTGGTACAGAGA